GAGTTCCATGACTCCTGTATGTATGTAAACACACACACACACACATATATATACGTATATATATTCTCTAGCTTTTTCTCCGCCTCGAGCTTCCTTTCCGAACATACGACTTTATAAACAGTTCCACGCAAATTAATAGCGATATAATATATCTGACGAAATTGTTTTTTAGAAGCATTTTTATTAAAGAATCATAAATGCAACGATAAACATATTTAATTAATTTTAGTGCCAATTAAGGCCTTGATTAAAAAAAGAATTATGAATTGTAATTATTTTTAATGATCCGCAGAAACCCTGGTTCATCTGGCGCATGCCCTCTACCATCTCCAAGGAACTCAGAGCGGAGCGGACGGACAGCGGCGGCTGTAGGCTTTGCTTTGTGCAGGCGGTCTGGAGCGCAGCGGGGCGGAGCGGAGCGCTGACGGAGTATGTGGGATTTCAGGGTAAATGGGAGATACAAAGACCAGGCTAATTAGCAGATTGGGAGCAGGTGTGAACAGAGGGAAGAAGGGAACTAAGGAAAATGAGACTGACACAAGAGGGCAAACAGGAAATATCCAAGAAATAAAATACAATCAAAAATACATAGAACACAATAATCAAAATAACACCAATGAAAACTCAAAATAAAACTTGAACAAAACCAAAACCATGACACTATTATACTACAAACACGGTATTGTAACAAAGTTTGAACAGTGCAGAGTGACTCTAGTTGCATGTTTTGGTAAGTAAATGCAGGTGCAAGGTTATTTGATTTCTGATAATTGCAAGACTGCGTGTAGTTGAAAAGAAAAAGAGGTTGTTAAGTCAAGGACACCTATGAAATTGTAAATGAATGGTAGTTGAATGGCATCGGAATGGTAGGTGACTGGAAATTATTGACTTTAAGTATCTCCCTGTGTGTGCTACTGTGTTTAAGATCTGAAGACTTTTTTCACCTCAAAATTGTTTGATCCATGACACACCTGTATGGAAAATTTAACGGTGTATTTCTGGTTTGTCATTTTGGGCTCCTGTCAAGGTGTGCAGACTAAAACCGTGCCAGCCCCTCCTCGCTGCGGGTCACCAAATCAACACAGCGTTTTCACGGTGTCGTGTTGGGCACTGTTTTCATCAATATCCCGGCTCCTCTGTCTTGATGGCTCTGGGTGTAGCAGAGAGCTGAACATTTTCACTGTACTGTATTAGACTCTAAAACCACTTCTTTGTTTACAGCAGCAGGAGGGTGGAAAATGAACCAAGATTATGTTTTAGTGTTTTCCAAGATCAAAACAACATTTCAGAATGTCTCCATCTGCTTTAATAATGCAATTGCTTTCCTAAAACCTTGTCATCTCTCATTGCTTTATTTTACCCTCGATCTTATTTCAGAAAATTTATGGTGTCATCTGTTATTAACGATTAACATCTCTGCTTTTATTAGAGCAAGTTTAATGTGATTTCAAAGTGGGTGTGATTAAAAAGCTAATTTGTTTCCTTTGAAATAGTTTTTGTTGGTGTAAAGACTAGGTTGCGCACTAAATTATGCTCATTTAAAAGGGGTTTGATTATTAAGTTGACAAAGCTACATCTGTGTGTTGTAGAATGCCCTGGGCCTTGGCCAGAAGTTACCATACAGAACGAAGAGGTCCCTCCTTGTCCCTCCCATGAGTGTGACTGAGAACCAGAGACCTCCATTCCCCAGGATCATTGGCAAGGTAAGGAATGCACCTTTAGTTGCTTTTTTGTTTTTTTTTATTACTTGAAGGTGTCATGATCTGGCCTGATTCCTCGACCTTAATTGTTTATTTCATTAACCTGCCGGTCCCTCCCTGCTATAATTATCATTTATTTCATTCAGCTGTTTCCTCGGCTTTATATTCAGTTCAGCCTGAGTACTTGGGGCCAGATCATTATTTGTTTTTCTTTTAATCTGTCAACTTATTCCTTGGTTCCATCCTGGTTCCTGGCGGCCAGTAGAGCCCTGCACTCCCGAGTCCCGCGGGACTCGCGTGACCCAACGCAAAGCAGTGCAGTGTGGGACAAATATTGAAAGCTCATTGCGGGTGCGGGCAGGAGCGGTGATAAGCGGCAGTCCTGTGAACTAAAAACGTGTTTTAAAACGTAAAATAAAATGTAAAATAAAGTCATAAGTTATCAGTCTATGTCTATCATATATATATATATACATCACAATGCGCTGGATATTGTAGCTTGTGCCACATAACGCGCATCATCCACTATGCAGTGAAGAATCGGACAGTAATGTGCTCAGATAAGCACAGTGCATTTAATTCCTCAAACTAATAACACGAATTGCCTTGAGCAGTAGGCGAACGTTGGAATCATGTGGCGAATTGTGGGCGGTAGCGGGACAAACTATTACAGGTGTGGGTGGGAGCGGGACTGAAAATCATAATTGTTTGCGGGAGCGGAACACTACGGGAGTGGGCGGGCGCAGGACTGGAAAATCTTCTCACGCAGGACTCTAGCTGCCAGTGGAAAGAGAGGGTTTGGTGTCTATCTCGTCTCCTGATCCTTCCCAGTGGAGTCCACAGGGTTCTGGCTCTGTACGTGGGGAGGATCAGTTTTGGCTCCAAGAAGGAGACCATTTTAAAGTTCTGCTCATCCAGTTTCAAGTGTTTCCAGTGTTGTCTCTGTTACCTTCGACCACTGAGCCTGCCCATCTGCAACTAACAGAGTGACTCACTGTGTTAATCAACTCCTGTCAGATGATGATGGTCACTTACCTTGGTTTCTCCCGCAACCAGAGTGTCTGTGATTGGGCGGTGCCCCGCCCCCCTCCTGCAGTCGCCGCGAACCGCAGATCCTCAGCAGTTTCGCTTCTGTTCCGTCTGTTTATGTTTTTATTTTGATAAACATTTTGAACTTTCCTAGTGGCTGTCTCACCTTGAATACTGGCTCCATCTGTTCTCTTTTTATAGAACAAGGATACCATTATTCAACATAAAAAAATTGTATTAAAATAAAATAAAAAAGAGTTGTGTGTTTTGTACCTGAATCCAATACACTATATTCTAGGTAGATAAACTGTATTCAGAGATGAATTAATTTCTTCTTGTTTTAGAAGCAAATAGTTTCACTCTTCATAAGTTTTATTTAGAACAATCTTCATTTTCACACCTGCTTCAAAAGCCAGTGTCCTGTAACATCAGCCATCAGCTCTGCATTAAAAAGGCAGTTATTATATACATAAGCTAACATTAGCTAATTGCTAACCCCTCACTAACACTAACAGCTCTATGTTACAGTGGCGGCTCCTTCAGCTCAACCATAGAGCAGACGGTGCTGTATTAATGATTATGCTGCAGGAATCTCCCAGATGTCCTTTATATATTTACTATACGCCCAACACACACCCATCTGTGAGTTTAATATTTGTATACAGTGGGTTGTGGAGAGGGTGTGTTAAGGTTGATCTTATAATAACTCTACATGTTCCTGTTGAGTTCTATTAATTAATGCAAACTATTGAAACACAAAGTTTCTTTTTGTCTATGAAATTTCTTTTTGTCTACACTTGTGTACATGTATACAAAATGACAAAATAAATCTAAGTCTGTTGTAAATTGTCTCATTAACCTTTCATAAAATACAAACAAAGACTAAGTATTTAGACTAAGTAAGATTTCATAAAGAAAAAAAGCGGAAACATCAAGGAAATGTTTCTCTACATTTAAGTGTCCTCGGCTATGTGGTGATATGTTCTTTTTGTAACAACTGAGTATTCATCTGCTTTGAAATATTAGTTGATTTTTTTCCCCCAACTCATAAGAAATATCACCAGACTCAATCCCCTTTGTTATTCCATTCAAATACTAAATAGTTTTAAAGCAGGATATGATTAGAAATATTATGCATCATTGTGGATTTTGACAATCCACAATTAAGCTCCACCTTAAAAATGGCAGCAAGTGTTGAGGTTTCTTCCCTGAAGCTCAGTATAACGTGAACAGTTGGTGTGATGCAGAGGCTCAGTTATATCGAGAGGCTTCTGCTTTATTTAATATTAATGACAGAAATGTAAAATGCCATAAAGTTCATGAGATACAGAAAAAGAGGACATATACAGTGACGTGCTTTATACTGTAGACAGCAAGAGGAAAAGTTGTTCAATGGAAAACTTTCAACTTTATATTTTTACCATGATGTGGAATATATAGCATACATTTATTGAAAAGTCACTTTATATTTAGACATCTATTCATCCTCTGAATCAGGACAACCAAAACATTTAGTGAAATATTGTGAAGACTGAGTTGTTCTTGATTTAATAAAAAAGCTTTTTTTGTTACTTTAAAAGAAAATTGCATAAAAAAACAAGGTTATTTCTATTAACCTTTTTTTTCTTGATAATATACAGTACAAACACCTGATTCAGAGAAAGAGCAGAAAACCTTCTAAAGCCAGTACAGTTCAGTCTGTCATGATAAAGATCACGACCTTGGCAGGTGTTGTCATTGCAAAAACAAAAAACACTTTGTGTGATGGTTTTAAAAACTGACAAATGTTAAACTTTTCCTTCTTCTTCTTTAATAAAATCCATTAAATGAATCATTTGTCAACATCAAGGTCAGGTTTATTTATGTGGTACATTTTACCAACTTGAGATGCAGAAAGTGCTTTACAAACTAGTATGCAACAAAAAAGATAAAGTAAGGGAAATGCATAAGATTGATACAATAGAAACAAAAAAGATTAAATACTTGAATACATTGGAAGCACTTACACAAAGACAAATATTAAGGCAATAAAAATGAAAACTTTTTGGTTAACTTGAGAGAAAACCAACTTGATGAAAACATTTCTTCAGTCAAGATGTAAAATGTCCCAGTTTTTTGCAGATCTATTTAGACCCAGACTATCCCAGCCTGTCTGGAACCCGCTGTAGAAAAAGATCAGCCACCTTCCTATTTAACCTTTTACCAAAAAACGTATAGTTCGATAGTTCCAATAGTTAGGAGTTTGACATTTTTGCGATTTAAAAGCAAAAAGTACACATTTGACATGGATCCTCTAACATCAGCTCTCTGAAGAGGAGCCAAAACTGCACCTATTGGTATTTGGGACCAAATTGAGAGGAAGAACAGAGAACTGTTGCAAACCAAAGAGCACAGAGTTTCAGTACTCTAATCTGCAAGCAGCAAAAAGATGAATAACATGTTTAAAGGTATTCGCTGGAAGGCTTTAACTGCACTCCTCTTACACCTGCATAAATCCCTATTTATGTTTTTCATGGTAAGAACAATGCACAATATGAACTGAAAAACTTAAGCAGGTAAATATCTGCGTCTTAAACTAGGAAAAATGCAAACAATGCAGTCTTGAATTCATGATCTACAGTGATGCAGTTCTATAGATGGATTGGAAGCAGCGATGCATGAAGTGAGAAAATATTTATTTTGGTAGTTAGCCAAACAGCGAGATTTTTGTGTTTGACTCCCAGAATCTATTCGTATCCCACTCCAAATACCAGAGCATTGGGCTCCTTTGTTCTCTGTTTGTAGATGTGGACTTTCTCTGGTGGATTTTTTCCCTACTAAATCATACATTTAAACATTACCATCATGGAATGTAATGAGTGGATGGTAATCTTTGGAGGCCATCACTTGTTGAGTTTAAGTGTAAAAAGAGATCAAAAAGTTCTAACAAATATCCAACCAAAGGCTCTAAATTGAATTGAAGATTAAAACAATATTTCCGTCTGTCAATTTCCGTCTGTCTATAGTGCAGACAAAATATACCTAAACATTTTACTCAGCTTAGTTCTACATCTGAATGCTCGCTAAGACGTGTTCTTCATCTCTCAGAACCTCTGCAATCTGAAGATAGAGCACACTGAACCCTCCTCATAATAGATAATTGTACCCCAGTGACTCTGACCTCAGCCCATATTCTGACTCTGGCTCATACTGATACTGTCCTACTCAGTATGGTCTCACTAAAGCAAGCTTATTGCCTGGAGATATCAGGTAATGAAGGTCAGTGGACTTATTTCAACTGCATGGATCTTAAAATCTTTAGGGGTGGTTTTGGGGGATTTATGCAGATTTCTGGTGTGGTAAACTAGAAGTGGATATAGAGGAGGGAGACCCAGCAGGCCATATGGAATGCAAATCATTCCTGCAGGCTCAGTGTCTGTTAGAGCAACTGCTACAGGTCTTCTGTTACATGTACATGTTCCTCCAAGCCTGTAGAAACATGGTTTTTACAAGAGAGTTCTTATTTTCTCCCACTCCCTCTATTGTGGTCCCTAAACATCCTCTCCCTCCTAAATTCCAGCTTCTTAACACTTTCCATTTGCAAATTCGATTATCTTTTCATCCCTTTGTTCTTCTATCCCTCTTCTCTTCCTCCACACACAGCCTTGCATGAGAAGACAGGATTATGTCGGCTACTTTACCCAGCAGAAAGCTATATGTTTGCGACTTGGCAAAATTGATTTTCCACCCCAATAGTTTTCCCTCTTCGCATACAACGTACCACTTCCATATGGCACCCATTCATTTTTTATACTCTCTTCCTCCTCACTCTGGGAGATAAGCAGTTTGAAGGAAGGGTGAGCTGAGATTGCAGGGGCTGCAATTTGACATGTATGGCTGTGTGCATATATAATGCTCTGTGTGTGCGTCTGTGTGTGCTGGAAGGAGGAAGGTGGGTTAGCTGTCAGGCTGCTCGCTGGGGAAGGGTAAGAACC